CTTGCAGGTTTGGCTCCACATGGCTCAAACTCGGAAAGCTAGACAATTCGAAGATGTCAAGTTCGAAGGGCGACATGATATAGAAGAAGCACTGCTTGTTCTGGCTATAACCAGGCCGAACACCGGAACAAAACAGCCCTCACTGGCAAATGGGTTTAGAGGGACGTGTAGGCACTCCTTTTGAAGCCGAAAAATTTGTCCGTAAGTCCCCGATGCCTCTCAAGCGAGCAGCTTTGCCGACCTCGAGCCCCAAGCCTGCGGAATCAACTCTGAAGCCTTCCCAACTTTAGTATAGGGGCCATAATAACAAGTAGAACAGAGGCTTGGGCTCTGCTGGTATATTGATTACAAGGGGACTATCAGGGAACACTAGTGCTGACTATTCCAACCCCTGCATTACCGTCGAGGCTGGCGCCTTATAACACAAGAACGCGCCGGTGCGCAGAAGCACTCGTCGGACGCTCCTCGAGTGACGGGAACTGTATTTATTTTCTCATTCGCTTCAGACTTCGGGAGTGTACCGGGCTCAGAGTTGCAGAGTAATCTACCCAGTGGTTTTGTGGTTCCTTTGGCTCTTTAGCTCCTTACTTAATAGGGATTATCATCATCCCTGGCTCTTGAGCTCCTCCAATACCAATGGTTTGTAATAATCGCAACAGAAATGTTTACTATTTGCAGAAGCAGTAGAGGTCGTGGTGGGTGGTCGTTGTCAGAGTGTTCGTGGCGTTTACTGCCATTACAGTAGTGGTCGCTGTCGTATTATGGCGTAGCAATAAAGTGGCAGTCGGAACAGCTTTATCAAGACGCTCCGGCTAGGCTCTGGGAATGGATTGATTGCATTTTGCCCATTCATGAACGCAGAAGTGAGGTGAATGCCGAACAAGCAAATCTCCATGTACACCGCAAAAAATACAACCAAGAACCAAAACCAAAGGCATTAAGCTTCAAAGTCCATTTCTGTCAAAATCGCCGATGAGCCGGATCCTCCCCAAAAGTCCCCAGACTGCTTCTACAAGATGATAGGACCAGGGTGCCCCAATATACCCCTTAATGGCGGACTATGCGCGCCGTTTTACTGGCTCTTAACACCCAAACTACTTAAGCGCTAAAAACGACGGATGGTCGAAACCTCAAGCTACGATAGAAACTGCAAGCCTGACAAGTTGTGTATCTGTATGTTTGCACGGCATTCGGCGCATGAGTTTGGTACACCATTCCATTCCCAAAGAGCCCAATACCCCTTGAAGCAGAACTTTTATGCGAGATGGACTTATTACTACTACGGTGCGCTACGGTTTGAACTATTTTCCCTTGATTAAGGGCTACAGCATGGGCTCTCCAAGGCTGGATTTTGTGTCAGCAAGTCCGGTATGCGCTTGTTTGGGGCCAGGATCCTACAGCATGGAATCCTACGCCAGGAGCCGCTTCTGTTTGAGAGGCTATTTGACAAAGCAAGGTGTAGGCTCGCTCGGTCAAAACTGACATCTGGGAGTTTCCGAAAAGTAGGGGTACCTTATTCTGGGCTCCTCCTAATAAGGATCTTACTATTTAGGGTCCTATTTCAGGGTCCCCTATTTTCGCAAGCTCCCATCTTTTTGCATCCAGGCCTATTGCGACTGCCGGGTACCCTGAAGAAAGGAAACTGAGGACTCCCATCTTAAACCCCTCTTTCCAGGATCTTACTATTTAGGGTACTATTTCAGGGTCCCCTATTTTCGGAAACTCCCAAACCCTAAACCCTAAACCCTAAATAGAACCCTATCGACCCCTTAAAGGAGCCCTTAAAGGATCCCTTTAAAGGAACCCTTTAAGGGTCCCCTATTTTCGGAAACGCCAATCTTAAACCCCCAGAGCTGCTGCAGGTCAAGAGTCCATCATGCAAGCAGGCGTTGGCAGCCTCAGCTCTTCGCACCCCAGAAAGTGCCTTAAGAATTAGAATAGGGTTTTGGGGTATATTATTTTATAGTTATATTATGGTTATATCATGGTTATAATATAGTTATATTATAGTTATTATAGTTATATTATAGTTCTATTATAGTTATAAAAAGGAACCCGGGAAACAGTAACCCAGACTCTAAGGCAAGAGTTCGAAGGAAAAGCTGTAGAAGACCACTGACTGTCCAAGTACCTAAACCCTAAACCCTATAGAACCCTAAAAAACCCTTTGGAACCCTAAGTACCTTATAGAAACCCCGAAGCGCTGCTTGCACAAGGGCGGCCACACCGGACTCGACCACTCCGTCGCCGGGGGCGTCCGCTGGGAGTCGGCGGTGGTGGCGCTCAGGGCCGGAGAGAAGGTCCTCAGAGAGCCCACGACTTCTGAATTCAGGAAGATACCAGAAATTAGAGGGGGTTTGATAATAATGACAATACTGGTAATCAGTAGAATCATGATAGTAATAATACTAATAATACTGAGAATGCTCCGTGGTTTTCGCTGTTTTATCAAGAGCCCTGCCAACTCCAGATTCATATCTGTACTCCTTGAAAAGTTTGCTTTGACCGTGGTGACGATGGTGAGGATTAAGATGGTGATGATGATGATGATGACGCTGATCATGATGTTGATGTTCCTGATTACGATGATGTTGGATGATGCTGCTGGTGTTGGTGTTGTTGCCTGTTCATGCAGAGGATATCGATGGCGACGATGAAAAACGATGATGATAACAATGACAATGACGCTGTTGCTTCCTGCTGCTGCTGTTTTCTCTTACTTGTCAGACACTCCCACCAGAAAAGTCTCGCCTTTTCTGGGCTTCCCAAACGAAAACTTTAAGCATCAATTCAAAGCTCTTGTTTGTCTGGTGACAAATGCATGCTGTTTTGCTGTCTATCTGAAACGAACTTGTCGTCCCAAATAGCAAAATTGTTACCTGGCCAAACAAAAAAACCGTGACATCGCGAAAACCATTGCTTTTAGATGCTACCCCGAAAATACCCACGCCACGCAATACGAAACACATCTCTGACACAACACAAGTGCTCTGCAGTATGGCAAAAATGTGGGTTTTAGCGAAATTTACGCCCCCGAAACTCACATCCGTGCACACAGTTTTCCAGAAAAAATGCGGATACATTATCTGTCATGCCAGGACATCTACCTGTGCGCAAACCACGAAAACTACGTAAATACCGCGGTTTTCTAGCCTTGAGACACATGCAGCAACCCAGCACCCGCTTACCGTCCGGAGAACCTCCGGGATTGCACGAAGGGGTTTATGCTCTCGCAACTCGGACAAGCCAGACGAGGTTCTTGGTTCGCGTCGGTACATCTTTACGGGGCTTAGGGGTTACAAGCACTTAAGCGTCCCGTCGTGGTAGGTTACTCTGCGGCCCCCGCCTGCGTCTTACCGTTGTTAAGCTTTGCTTGCATGCCGTCTGCCCATACATGTACATAGCTCCACCTCAGCGTGCCAGCATCCGACTCCTTCACGCCGTTTTACCATTGCAGCAGAGCTGCAAGATTTTCTCCGGCGGAGGCGACTCTGGAACAGCAGGCGACCTAGATGGACAACATGGGGCAACACTTCTTCAGGAATAGTCATGAGTCTTTACTGCTTCCGTCGTTACAGAAAGCAAGCACGATGTGCAACATGTGCTTTCGGCTTTCTTGAGCCCGATGAGTTCTGGGAGGAAGGGAAGCCTGATGTTTGATTCCGTGCACGGGCCCTCCAGTAGATGCTTCGGACATCAACGTGATCGCGCCTCTGTTCGGCGTGAAGCCGATGCAACAGTTCAAGGCTTTGGGTTCAGGGTTTCCGGTCTCCTGTCTCTGCTTTGGTTTGGAGATAAGGGTCGCCAAGTTCTGCAAGCTGGATTACGATACAGGATAAGAGAAAGGGTGCACAGTTTAAAATTGCCTTGGCAAACAAAGGAGCCCCAAATGTGAACCCCACATAATAGGAACCTCGAGAAGCAACTTAACGAGTCTCTGATGCCCAGAAACCCCCTGTCGACGGACGTGGGACAAGAAGAACTACGAGGGTAATGAAGGTCTGGGGCCCAGGGATACGGGTCTAGGGTTTCGGGTTGTTGGGGTCTAGGGTTTCTGGAGTTTTTTACCCTTTAGGGTTTTGGGGTTTAGGGTTTAGGATTTAGCAATTCTCCAAGTTAGGGTCCCTTCTTCCTTAATTACAAGCGCCCAAAATGTTTACGGCACGCTTCTACATGGACCCTAAAAGGAACTCTAATAGAGCACTACCCATCTGATGATGCAACCACCCCGCCGGAGCTGGGAGCCCACGTTTCTTGCTTCCGGCTGTTCTGAGGCCGCCGTCTACAAGGCTTTTCCAGCGTTGCTTTGAGGGTTCCTTAACGGGTTCTGTAGGGTTTAGGGATTTAGGGGTTTAGGAGCTAGGATTAAGGCCTACATTAGAGGGACTCTTAGGGATATACACCCTCTCAATAAGGTCCCGTTTAAGGGAGACATAAGTAGGGTTAAGACGGGTCCCCTTTAAGGGGTCTCCCTGATACTACCTAGGATTTTCTTGTAGGGGGCTGTACAGTGGGTTTTGACAGGGATCTATGATAAGGCTTTGCTATCGCAATGTCCTGGCGCTGATTTCGAAGCCTTTTTCCTCCTCGGATCGCATACAGGTCCTTGGAAGATACAAAACTATAGATGCAGTCCATCAACTGCAAAATGTATAGGCATCGACAGAGCCACTATCACTAATACGGGAGACGCATATCTCAGCGCAGTGCTTTTACTGCGGGCACCATGCGTCACGTGCACTCTAAAACTGTACTCCTTTGGGAAGGTCGGCCATCGTCCCAAGAAATGGGTGGCTACTCAAAGCCGTTTCGTATGTAGATGGGTAGACACTTGAATACTAACTATTAGGCCCCATAGATTATAGAATTCTTTTAGAGATCCCTTATAAGGAACCCTATTACGAAGTCGGGGGACTCGTCTTTCAGCTTGAGGGTAGGGCTTGTAAGTTTTGGGAGGTGCGATGCAAAAGAGAAAGCTGCACTCCACCAGGGGAGGTAGCTCACTCGGCTTTGAGCTTGTCCAAAAGTCCAACGATCTTTCCCCATGCCTGCCCGTCCTGCAGATTTCAGATCGAGCGGAGTTGCAAATCCGTTTCCCGCCGCATTCGGTTCAGCTGCTGCTTTGCTTCTACGTTTGTAGCTTTCGACAAACCCGGATCGGTGACTGGCTTCTTGCTTTGCAGAGCAAACGGTGTGAAGTAAGTCAGGAGTCCCCTAAACCCTAAACCTTGAAGAAGTGAGGCCTTGCAACTGAAACTTGGTCGGAATCCGATCCCGAATTTTGCATGGCTTCGACCTTTCAGGCAACAAACATGACATTTACAGCGCGACAAGCTGCAAAGAGGCGGAGAGACACGTCATCATGGCCAGTACTAGGTGTGCTGGCAACAAAGAAATCGAGACATAGAGACCTGCTTCTGATCAGGGCTTGGAGTTCAATGACACAACATGACAAATCTCCGACCCGCAATCCCTGAACACCTTAGCTCCTAACCCCAAAACCCCCAAACCGAAGCCGAGCCCGAAACTGAAACCAGACTCCCCAAATCCTTTAAAGGGAACTCCAGAAAGTTGGAATATGGTTTCAGGGTAGGATACCCTATAATTTACCATAGAAGGGTTAGGATAATCATATTCCAACTTTCTGCCTTTTACTTTAAACCCTCCGATCGCTTCTCCCGCCCAATTGGCAGTCCAGGAAAGCCCCTGCAGATGTGCAGGGCACTTCTTCGATGTGGCACGTGAAGCCATCGGAAACAAGGTCCTGCTCATAGGAGCACTCCGAGGTTCGTGGCTAGTGATAAGTGGAGCTCTCTGTCCCCTGATGTGGCTTCTAATTATGGTTACCGCACTTTCAACCCCTCGTACATGTACCCATGAACCTCCAAGCAGGGTTTGCAGCCCAACACTTTCACAATCGACCCTGCGGCGGCATGATGATGCAAAGATGCAAAAGCCAGAGTCGGCATGACGGAAATAATTGAAAAGCCGAATGCCCCAGCGCAGTTGTACCGTAGCCGCCTTAAACAATAATACTCTGAATAACCCCCTTAAGTTAGATTATAAGATGCATAAGGCATAATTCCTAAGACCTAAGAGAAATGAAGATGCAAGTATAGCGGCCCTCACGTGTCGAACAAAAATGTGCGGTATATAATGCTAGGGACTTTAAGGTAATACTCCTCCCAGCGTGAAGACATCTTTTCAAAGAGTCCCAAGCAAAGAAGTTGCTTCGCCGGTCACTCCAGTTGGAACAACTCGAAACATATTGGAAAAACATTAAAGCCCTACTGTACGACCGAAAGACCCTCGAATCCACTGTAAACTCCAAGAACACGGCCTTCCACAGATTCGTCTGCTGGTCGTCGAAGTTCATGCAAGACTCGGAGTTGGAGGATGTCAGCGGCTTCTTCAACTCGTAGACCTCTTGCGGAATTGCGGCTTTTGTGATGAAGGCTTTGGGAGTTTCCGAAAATAGGGAACCCTAATATAGTACCTTAAATAGCAGGCTTCTTATTATAAGGACCCCAAAATACGGTCCCCCTAATTTTCGGACACTCCCTGATAAGAAAATGCTGTTCCCCTTGCTTGCCGTCGGCCAGAGCTTAAGTCAGACTGATAGCTACTTGGAGGATCATGGGACTTAGTCAGTAAAGTTATAAGTACCTTAATCGGGTTGTAAGCATACTTACCCTAATTATAACCCTAGTTACTAAGTCCCATGATCCTTTAAGTAGCCCTAGATGAAGCCGAGGCTGGGACTCAAACAGAAGCCTTATAACGACTGGAATGGAGTTTTGGTGTACATTGTAGGGTGAACACGATGAAGATTAAAACGAGTCAGTTTCCGTTGTTGAGTGTTTTGGGGGCTTGGGCTTCAGGGACGTGGGATGCACGAAAGTAACCCTGCTGCACCGAAGTTCTAGCGTTCGCGCGTTCAGCCTCGAACGATGTCTCCCCAAAGCACGGACTGATGACACTCTCCGGAAATTCAAACCACCCTGAACCCTGGGCCTTGTTGGCCAAAACTTGGGTGTACGGATCTTCTCCGTCCTTCACGCTCTTGACAAGCTTGAACTCCTGTGGAGTGGAGATTCGGGCTTTCGGGGTCTGGTTTAGGGTTTAGGGGATTCGGGCCTGTGGTTACGGGGTTTCGGCGCTCACGCTGCGACAATGGAGGCGAGGCATGTGCTTCGAGGTCTGACTTGTGAAACTCCTGCTTTGGACGAAAACGAGTCCATCAGGCGTTTAGGCTTGATCACTTTCAAGCTGGATGTTTGGGGGAGATTCGGGGGGTCATGCAGACGGAATATGCCCCAGTTTGACGAGCTTAGACAGTTTGACGAGCTTAGACTAGTGCATATCCGGGAGGTTTCGAATCGTCGAGGCATCATCCGTTCGTTGCGGCGTGCATGAAGCTCTGCACCACTCAACCTCTAAGAATTTAAGAGGGACCTGAATGACTAGAATAGGATTTTACTATGATTATAAAAAGGAACTATAGGTCATTATAAAGGACCCTACATTACACAACATGTCTCATGCAACTCGGGCGTCCAAGACTTGGAAAGCCGATCCCATCTCCCGCAGCCTCAGGCCCAGGGTTATCTTGATCCCCCTCTTTGATTAACCAGTGGTTTTGGGGTTGCCTTGGCTCTTTAGCTCCTTATTTTCATAGGGATTATCATCATCCCTGGCTCCTTAGCTCCTGCAATACCTCTGGTTAGTTGACCCTCAATCATCTTGACTCAGACCGATGTGAACTATGAACCACTCTTTTTCAGCATGGGCTTGGATTGTGTGCCAGCGAACACTCCTCAACAGCAGGGCCATTCTAAACCCGAAACCTGCAATTCCTGCTGGCCACTTGCGGCGTGAGTTGGCCTTAGTCCTAACTCGAAGGGGAGCTGCCGCAAAGCTTCCTCGACTCTGCAGCTGCTCAACGGGGACTCCGGAACCCCCAAAGAATATGAACCGCACTGCACACCCAAACTCACCTGACAAAGAGGTGTCTCCTTGATTAGGTTGGGGATGAGCTCGCGCTGCAGAGCCACATCGCCCTTTCGGAAAACTTCCTTGCAAGTCAGCACGACGTCCGGGGGGGTAAAAGCATCAGCAGCAAGGAGGAGGAGGAGGAGGAGGAGTCATCGTCGGAGTAGTAGTAGCAGCAGCAGCAGCAAGAGCAGTAGAGGTAGTAGAAGCAGTAGCAGTAGCAGCAACGGCCGCAGCAGTGGTGTTGATAACCGCTGCCGTGGTCGTAGTGGCAGTAGCAGGGCAAACAAAAATTTCCGACATGGTCGAGGTCGTTGCCGTCGCTGCGGCTCCACTGAACACTCTGTCGATGAACAACCGACGAGTTCAGTGCAAGGTGAAACAACAGCAGGTTTGGATCAACTTGGCTTGTGTCCTCTGCAGCAGCTAAATGCTTTACTTTGAAGACTACTATATGCTGTCAGAGTTTCGATGGTGCTCTTTCGGAACTTCTCGTCGGGGCCCTCCATGCTCGTCGCGCAGTTCAACTTCGTGTTGTACTCGTCGAACCAGCCTTCGCTGATAGTGCGGTTGGGGTACAATCAAGAATATTCATATATCGACTGAAGTTGTATAGTGCTGCTGCTGGCTACTGGTGCAGACATCTATACCAGACCTATTATGCCGAAGCTTTTTGAAACCGAAGGTACACTATGACTCTCAGACCTGTCACTGTCAATTTCTCCACATGAACAGGACCTGGACGCCTAGTTTTACCGAACTTGAAAGCTTCAAAAGCAACCGAATCGTCTACCTTTGAGCACGAAGCCCCTTCCTGTACAGGGTAGTATAAGGGCCTTTAGGGTACTATACGTGTTTGCTTTAGGAGTTAATTTTGCGCTACCATAATTCGGAAGCCCTACTGTTCAGCTGTAGGTCCCTAATATGGTAACTTGCATAATCTACTTCCATGACGAGAACCAAGTAACATGCGAGAGTGCTTGCAAGGAAGCAGCAGACCCCTGCACATCCGTATAAGTTCAGTTGTCTGTCTTCGCCCCTTTTCCACCGCATCCAAACTGAAAGTGTAGGGTTTAGCGATTTTAGGGTTTAGAGCATAAGGGTCTCGACTCATGCTCGCGCGAGGTAGGCAAGACTTCCAGCAACAACACCTAGTTGCTGAGTTCATAAGCCCCCAAAATTGCACACTTTCAGTTTTCAATGGGTAGTACTCTCCCAAAAAGTGTAAAGTGTAGCCACTCAGCTACTAAGAACACCATGAGATCGTAAACCTGTCCCAACTCGGCAGATGAACAACCCCGGAGAATATCTAACAGCACACGTGTACGCACCCACGCACGGCTTACAGGCTTTAGAGTTTAAAGGTTTCTTCCCTCCTTGTTAGCAAGGACGAGGCCCACATTGCAGCGAAGTTCAGTGAACAGTTGACTACAGCTTCAGGTACAGGATATTTTGAAGCCTCTCACACAGGCAAACTTTGGCCTACGAAGAGACAGAGTCAACACTACACGCGGTTTTCATGTGATATGCCCACTCAGAAAAAGCTCGACGTCTCGTTCAAGCAGAGGTTTGACAAAGGCAGCGAAGACCACATGTCGGTTCACCTCTTTCCACTGTAGAAACATTGGCAGCGATCTTCACCCCACATCCACCCAGTTTAAGGGTTTCGGTGTTCAAGAGTTTAGAAGCGATTGGGCAAGTCGTTTGGTCAAATCCCTCAACAATTCGCATCTGGACTCCGTCAGACTATCCTAGCCTAAGCCTACAGGGTACACCGCACTGCGTTTCTTGCTTTTTTGGTGTGCTGTATGTAACCATGCAGTCCTGCGACATGCTGGCAGAATCGCGCAACTGTTCCCTGAGTTGCGGCACTGCTTAGCATTGAATATATAGTAGCCGCCGAAGCTAGTGGCAAGCACCAAAAGCAGAGAGGAGCAGAGGACCGGCGGACCAAAGGACGGAAAATACCAACATAAATGAACGCTATAATCCCAAATTCGAATCATCCTCCAATCAAATCTGAGCAAGGAAGCTCTTGACATGATCCAAGGTGTAGGGGTAGGGGACGTTCTTGTCCGCGCAGCCCTTGCAGTTCTCCTGGAACCTGCTGTGCCGCCAATTGAAGGGCTTAGAGTTAAACATAATGAGGTAACTGTATGTATGTACATACATACATGTGTATGTATATATATATATATATATATATAGAATCAGAAGGATACATATTTATTTAAAGAGACCCATGGAGTCGAAATACAGAAGGACACAGAACCATGAACCCTGTGACCCGATCGAACCTAACAAAAACCCGTCAATCGCCAAGCCCCACACTTCCAGCCTCCCTTGTTTTACCAACGGACCGTCAAGGTCGGTCAGGCTACCTTACCCTCATGCTATAACTCCCCATGGGATTTTATCCTTAGGCCTCTTTTATTTTTAGGGCTTCGTTTCTTTCTGGTTGTAGCCGAAGGCATGAGCTTGGGCCTGCTAAGGCACACAACATATCGTTTTTAGGCGCCATCGGGCAAAACCATACTGCAGAGGCTGACATACTATAACATGACGTAATACTCGGGAAGTTGCAGAAGAATACTGTGGTAATGGCGTGTAGTTGAGCATGTGGGCTGCCCGGCTGCCCTGGACCCGAAAAATCTGAAATATCTAAATTAGCAGCAGTGCACTGCTCCCAAAACTGAAACAGGGTGCTGTCCTTGCATGCCAGACCTTGTCTTGTAGGTTGGCATGTTGGCGTTGGTTCGAAGCTTGTAATCGCGATGTTGATGTTTCTATCATGTTTGGTATTGGTTTTTTACTGCCGTGGAGAGTTGGTAGTCACACACTCCAGTTGGCTAGCTTTCGAGACATGACCCAACTGCTGCCACGGTGAGAAAGGGGCCATCGATTTCATTCTATATATGTGGTAAACTTCCGGCTGCAGGTGGATGTTGTCATGGGTTCACGTATTATGCCGGGGCTCGATTCGTGAATCAGAGGACCTGCGCACTAAACGGGACAGGGACTTGGAGGCAAAACCTTCTCCAATGCATCCGGGGGCATCTTCTGGTAGCGGTCCCAATCTGCCTGCCGAGGGGCTTTGTAACCGAGTAACCTAGCAACTGCGTGTATGTCTTTAAGACTGTGTTAGCAGACTGTAGGCGAGCTGAACACCAAAACAGCCAAACCCTTAGCCCTTCAACCCTAAACCCCATCCGGGATCAGCAGACTCTGGTAAGGAGGGCTTCTGCAGCATCTATTCTACTGCCCGGTAATCTACAAACTCTGTATCCTTTAATGATTAGAATAAGATGTTGGGGTAGGTTATGGTACGAGTCTTCGGGAATCCTATCATCAAGTCTTTGGACCTCCTTTTCTCACAGCTACGAGAACGTCAGCCGGGACGACACCTTGGTAGAACGCTGCAGAACTAAGGACAAATCTGAAGCCTATACTCGCCAAGATCCAAGAAAGACACGGAGCGGGACAACGTGGCAATAAAGCCCTCTAGACTCCATATGCAAAGCGCAAGGTGCACTCCGAAACCCTGTAATACTCTCTGGGTAAGCCCTTTTGCATCCGGACTTGGGAAGTCGGCCGGGAAAGTCAGATTTCTCCCACGTGTTTCATGTTTACCCAGCTCTAAACCCTATACATGGGTACCATGGGCCTTGCAGTACTCGTAGAACTTGTGGACTGGGTGCATCGTGTGGATCAGAGAGTACCTCCGAACCGCTTCTGCCGCGCATGGTCTGAAAAGCCTACGGTGTTCTCTGAGGGTCTGGGGTGGCGAGGGCTTCAGGCTTTTATGTGGGTGGTTGTCAATATTGGGGTCCTTTTGGGTCCTTCTTTTAATACGGCACCTAATATTTTAGGGTACCCAGAAAGAGACCCTAATTTTGACAACCACCCATGTGCTTTGGTAAGCGTTGTGTGGGGAGACCGGTGTCTGTGAGGAAACTCATTTGTGTCAGCTGCCTTGGGCCCGTCATACATCGACGGGCCCAAGTCGCTCTCTGCAAAGGGTGTATTGCCAAAAAACTAGACACTGCCCCCCCCCCTCAAAAACGAAGACAGCATAACTAAATGCAATGTAGTGTTGAGGTTTACACCCGCTTGGCAATCCCAAGCTCTCGAGGCACAACCTAAAGCCCTGGCGCTTCTGGGCGCCACCCTGGTCACATCGACGTCCCGAGAATCGTTAGTTTTCTTTTTTTTTTGGAGGGGGTGGGTGTTTTGTAGAATATTATCATAAGGAGGGGTGGGGGGCATGTTGTAGTATATTGTCATAAGGGCAACATCACATCTTCGTTGCCTCCGGGCTTGGGGTCAGCCGGGAAAGTGATAGAAAACAGCAACATCGCATCTGCTTCAAAGCTAAAGACTCCGACGAAGCCAAGTGCATTCCATGATGTAGAGAATATAAATGCCGTGACAATCAGAATGGTGTTTTTTTTTTGGGGGGGGGGTATTGTGATGAATAAAGTACCATAAGGCACGTTGGTGCCTTTTGGATCCCAGGCTCTATGCCATCATCAGCTGGGAATCGGCAGCCAACGTGACTACTGCATGTCAGCAAACCGTCGCAGCCACTCCACCTCTTTAGTTTCAAAGACGGAGAAGCTGACAAGAACCAACGTGCTTATTGAGGCTTTCATGTTAAACCGACGACTTCTGGATCACTTGAGTAGTTCTCTCAATTGGGACCCCTTTTTTGATGGCACAGTTTTTCCTCCTGGTTTCAGCACTCACACTCGGACAAGCCTTGGCGAGGTTCCCTGGTCCCACGACAGGCACATGTGGCCCAAGCCATCATACATTGACGACAGCAAACATTATCCGCGCTACGATCAACCTCAACCTGCATCCTGCAGCTATTCGCATCATCCTCAAACTGTGAACTCATCAACACAGAAATCACGGCATCCTCAGTCCAGTTGGCCCCACTGGCAAAATGCCATACATGCAGCAACACATGCACACAAATTCCCAATCCATTCATGCTCGTTGGACGCCCAAATGTCCAGACCGTTGCCACTTGCTGATGAGGGCTCGACAGCTTCATGCAGTTGCACATGCATTCAAATTCTCAAATTCCGTTCATGCGCGTTGTACGTCTAAGCGTCCAGACTGGTACGTTCCTCTGGTTGTAGGCTCGACAGCGATGCAAGGAAAAACGGCCCAGCATCGGCACTCCAGTCAGTAGACACCACAGGGCAGAGGCCCTTCACGCTGTATCGTATGCATCCAAATTCAATGCATCACCCAGATTGCTGCAGTCAGTTTGGTGTAAGCCGTGGTATGCAGAAAGCATAGCCCAAATTCCATGCATGCACAACGAAGGCTCTGTGCTTCCAGACTCGCGTTCAGTGGAGCATGTATTCGGCTGCCAGACATACATCAGTGCAGCATAACAGACTCCATCATCTCGGCCGGGCATCTCCCAAGAATACGTTTTGCGTCCGCGGTGTCAGCCCGGGGACAAGGGGCAGCATAACCAGAACAGCCCATCATTGGTCTCCGTGGGGAATCCAAGGAGACACACAATAATGAGTGGCATAAAGCAGTCCCAGTGGTCAGAGCAGTCGTCTAGTCGTCGCGCCAGGGGCCGAAACAGCATTTAGAGCGTGGCATCGGCTGCCATCACAAGCCAGCCAGGACCCAGAGGTGCGAGCAGAAAACTGGCAGTAGCCATGGCAGAAGCGCCGCGGGCTAGGGCTACCTAGACCCCGAATGGGAGGGTTTAGGAGAACCCACAACACGAACGAGAACGCGGGAATGGGGGCTGGTTTAGGGTTTGTTTACACCCTAAGCCCTAATTGAGAGATAAACCCACTTGCAGCTTCGAACACACCCCCCCAAATAGGAAGCTCCAACCCCAAACCCGAAGGGCGCTTGTAAGACGCTTCGTCGCCGAAGGCTCGCGCTGCATTCGGGAAGTAGCCTTGCTCAGAAGATCACCGGTGGTAACAAAACCATAAAACCCTACGCCTGCTTACGCTCTCGCAACCCGGACAAGCCAGACGAGGTCTCTCGGTGCATAGTGCTTTGACTGGTCGGCTTTGGCGCTGATAATCCTACGCCTGTTTAGGGTTTTGGGTTTACGCTCTCGCAACTCGGGACCCTGAACCAAGTCATTAGCTTCAGCGTCCACGATACATTGACACGACGCCCGACCGGCAACAAAGTCCACTGAGTTGAAGCGCAGGTCGGGGCAACCACAGACGAATAGTTGGGACTTCGGCAGTCTTGAGGACGAGAACTGTTCGTGGTGTTTACTAGTGATGCACAACAGTTAGTAGCAACAGCACCTATGAGAGTGATCCTGCGCGCCAGCTTCACAGCCGCCATGTCACTAATCCAAAACTTGGAAGTTCGACACTTTCGCATGTCTCAAGCCTTCTCACTTGACTGGCAGGTTCCAACCCTCAACCCTAGCCCATCACACTGTTGAATTCGGCTTGGCAGCTTCCAAAAACGCCGCCAGCCCACATTTCCTCAGCAAGTCAGGTCCTAAAACGAAAATGAACCTACACAACTAGCCCTGTATAAACCTAATGTAGACCCTGCACAGGCCCCTATATAATTGAAGAAGTATCTACTTGTAGTAGTTGTTTTGTCAATATTTGTCAATCAGGGTTACCTGGACTGCCAAAGCCTTAACTTGATGCTTGTTAAGTAATTTAGCAAGCGATCCGACGCGAGGAACGAATATTGTCACGACGGTTGGTGGTGTGAGGTTTGGCCTGGGATTGCCTTGAAGGCGCCCTGGGGATGTCTCTTAAAATGACACATGCGTCGGTCAAGAAGCTTTATTCCTCCTCACTTCCTCCTCCCGGGCGGCAGCATGAGATGACAGCCCACCTAGTATGAAGTATCCTAGACACTTAACCCTAAACACTGGGCCCCACACACCAAACCCTACAACGTCTGGCTGGTAGACCCCGACGTCTTTCACCAGGAAAGGCACGTACTGAACGTTGGTCATGTACACGGGCTGGTCCGGCTGTGTGTCGCTCTTCTTGTGCACAGGCAGCAACTTCCTTGAACGAACCACGGGGTTTCTAGGAGTTTAAAGGTCTGGGGCTTACTGTAGGCGGTTTGACAAGGCATTTATAGTATATTGTCCAATCTTCCAATATCTTCCACTATACTCTAATCTATTGTATGCACGCCTTCTCTCGCAAAATCATGTCTGCCATGCTATACTAGATTATGCATGGAAAATTAGACTACACTATACCATCTGCTGGGCTTGCCTTGTCACCTCGTGAGGAACCTGCTGGTTCGGCGCGGGCCCCTCTACAAGTCCTGCTGCTACTGCTGCTGCTTCTATACTACTCTACTACTATAATACAATATTACCATAATATCATAGTACTATACTATAATACTATACAGCTGCTTCTGTTGAACCGACAAGGTGTCCTCGGAAGGCCTCCAGAGCGGCCTCTTTGCTGTCTAAAAGTCCTGCTAGCCTCAACGGTTCATGATCCTGGCAGGACCACTACAAGTACCGGTAGCTCTCGAAACCTACCTCGTTGAACCATAAACTCTGAACCTGACGGCTGAAATCCGAACCCTGCGGATTGACAGTCGTGCGAGCCCGGCGTCATCATGCCCTCGTCGCATGCTTTCCGGAATTCCCAAGGATGGTTGTGCATGTAGTACCACCTCAGGAGCAGATGTCGGATAAGCACGGGAACAAGCAGCTCTCAATATCGTCATCACCTTCCGCAAAATCTCTACTAATTACTCACTACTTGGAGGATCATAGGACTTAGTAAGCGAGGTTATAAGTACCTTAATTGGGGGTTAGAAGTATAGTTACCCTACTCATAACCCTAGTTACTAAGTCTCATGATCCTTTAAGTACTGCAGATCGCATTGCTTGCTGAGAATGCAAAGGTATTAAAGGCGAGGTTGTGGCCAGCTTGATGGTGATGGCGATACTGATATGGGAGTTTCCGAAAATGGGGACCCTAATATAGCAGCCTAAATAGTAGGATCCTTACTACACGGACCTCAACATAAGGTACCCTAATTTTCGGAAACTCCCATAACGATGAAGCGGGTTGTGATGCAGGTGGGGTGGAGGTCATGCTGATGTCTGATGCAGAAGTTGACGTGCGTGCGACACATGATCGCAACAGGAAGAAGCAGATTATGATCAGGCGTGTTTTGTTGGATGTGATCAAATCGGTGGCTACGATCATCAACGTCTTTCCAACTAGATCATAGCCAGAATATGGGGTTTAGTCTAGTAATTATTGCAAAGGTCCGTTCCTTCGCAGGCCCAAGTCTTTCGAAGCTACGGGTACGGCTAGGGCTTCGTCCCCCAAGACACACCTCGATCTGCAGTTTAGGCGGAGATTTTGTCATGTCAAATATCGAGAAACCTGCTATGAAGCAGCACAGATCTTATACCCTAAGTGGAAAGCCGCCCGGGGCGAACACCAATGACGGTAAATAGCCGTCAGGGTTTCGGGCTCGGGCTTTACGGAAGTACACTCATTATAGAAGCCTTCAATCCTGCCGGCAATAAACTTGGCTTGCCTAACTAGCGAAGGCCGTACTTGCGAGGCGGTAGGTCCACGAACAGTCCACTAGGTAATCACGTAGTACACCTTATATACTCAGGATCCCGAGACAATTCAGAGCCTGCCTACGGCTGGAAGTTCATTCCTCAGCCGTAAATAGTCAGAGCTCTCTGTAGAAAAGCCTGCATACTCGGACACGCAAGGGCCGATATCCCACGAAGTACAAACCGCGACCCCCCGCTCTCCAGCCACAGCGCTGCTTCACAAAGCCGCATGCGCCAGGCCCAGCCGAGAAGGTAGTGAAACGCTTGGCGTCCATTCCTCTTTTTCAGGGTTTGCGCTCTCGCAACTGGGTTTAATTGAGGTTTTTGGTTTCGGTGCTCACACTTGGACAATCCAGGCGAGGCATATGGTTTGAGGTCTTCTGAGTGATACTTCAACTAATTGGGAGTGGCGGACACAACAGGTTTTCGGTCTGGAGATTGAGGGTCTTGGGTTCTAAGGGCATACACGCCGGCCTTGGGCCAGGCACCCGCTTGAAGGCCTCAGGTTTGGGGTGCGACTTCGGCTTTTGAAGAAGGCCAGCCAGTTGTGGTCCTGGGATCTGCATTTGTATATACACGTGCCCATACACACATACACACATAAACACCTAAAACATACACATATACCCTAATACATCACACAACATACATACATACATACACTCATCCATGTGTCCATGCACACACAAAGATAGATATACATATATATATATAGTATATATTAGATAGATAGACAGATAGATGTATATATATATATATATGTATATATGTATAGAAAGAAGGGGCGAGACAGAGACAGAGAAAGCGAGAATACACATGCGTATATATGGATACAGACACTATGTCCATATACACGTATATGAAAGTTTGTGTGTAGTTTACACAAAGTAACAGAGGGAGGGAGTATGTGTGTAGTCAGAGAGAGAGAGAGAGAGAGAGAGAGAGAGAGAGAGAGAGAGAGAGAGACAGAGAGAGAGAGAGAGAGAGAGCAGGGTTTAGGACTATGCTCGCAATACCTGAAGGGCCCGGAGACTTAGGAAGTTGGGTTATACCATGGAAGAGCTAGCTACAGCTGTGGTTGCTTACGGCCCCAAGTCCTCACGTACTGGTAATCCGGAATTGCTAAGCACAGGGTTCGATGCCCGTAGCGCATTTTTTACTCGGACAGCAAAGCCGTCATCAAACCTTTGCATGCCCAGTGCCTGTGGCGTCCGCGGTCATGACCCGCCGGAAGTCGCCGTTGATCATATTCCCCACCTGGGGCGTGTTTTAGGAAGTAGAGTTTCTGGCTCAGGGGATCCTGTCAGACGCAACTCAGTTCAGCGGAGCGGTACTACAAACTCCCAAACAAGTTTGCAAGTCTTTCAGCCAGAAGCACAAATCCCTGAGGGCCCCGGTAAGACCCTTCGTGCAAAGCACAAAGGGCGCCTAATGTAGGGGCTTCAACATGGTTTATGGGGGTACATATACACAATATAATATATATATATATATATATATATATTGATGCTGCGGCCTGTGTATGTTTATGTTAGCAAACCCCAAGGAGTGCAAGTACTGATTGTTCATGCCTATATGCTCGAACCCGATTGTAGGGCGACTGTTCCGGCCCCATCCCGCCAACAGCCCTAGTAGCAAAATCGACTCTACGATCATCAACTCTGACCCAGACAGCACCTGAACACCAAGCCGCCACTACGGTCGGTAGCCTTTCGCCAAAACCTAAGCGGGTAAACCTCCAACCTAAACCCCTAAACCCCGGCTTTATTGGAGCGCACCTGCCCCAGCAGTTGGAAAACCCCAAACCCTGACACCCAAACCCCCCACCCTCAAACACTAAACCCCAAACCCTCAACCCCTGACACCCTCAAACCCTAAACCACAAAACTCAACCCCTGACACCCGAGCACCTGCCTTGTGGGTCATGGCATGGAGCTTGTCCACACGCGGATCACCAATCAGTCCGAGAGCTTTGCCTGTGATTCGAGTCTGAAGTTTGCTTGAGGGGTGAGACTGACAGTACTCTTAATAGCAGTAATATGACTAGTAGTGAGTAGTGCTAACAACCATAGTACTAATTATGATAGTCGTTAAAACTCTCTCTCTCTCTCTCTCTCTCTCTCTCCCTCTCTCTCTCTTTTTTTTTTCTCTCTCTCTCTCTCTCTCTGCTTTGCTCTGGGGCGTGGGAGGCAGGCAGTCCCTACCTCCCGCTCCGAAGAGCGGCCCCATCCCGTCATGCTGACTGGATGGGCTCGGCTGTACTGTGAACGCGTGAGTGCTGGGTGCCCGTCTTCGAAGCATGACATGTCCAAGCAACAACAGCTAGTGTGCACACACAACGCTTCGGGCACTCAGCTTTCTCACTTGGGCTGGTCCCCTTACTGTTTGGGCTTGTGCCCTCTGTACGGTTTCAAACCCTCTCTCTCTCTCTTTCTCTCTCTCCCTCTGCCGTTGCATCCAGAGGGTCTGGCAGCGCCATGCAATGCATGAGGCTTAGGTTTTTAGGGTTTAGGGATTAAGGGGTTACCTTGAGCTGAAGTGTGAAGGTTAGGGCTTTTTGTCCAACGTGCCGGATTTTCTGCGTTGAAGGGTTGGGATTTGAATAGGGTTTTTGCACCTGACCAGGACGAAGTCCATGTAGCAAGATGGTACCAGAGACATTCACTGAAAACTACCTGGTTGTTCCGTTGTGCCTCGGCGTGTGAGGTTGTAGGCTTCTCGCTTGCCTTTTTTCTTCTGATTATGGGGTTTCAGGTTCTCTCTCTCTCTCTCTCTCTCTCTCTTCTTCTCCCAGGCTTAAGGGGTGAGTGAACCCCCCGGGCACTAAGGCCCGCCCGCCCGCCTTTTACGGGCTGTTTAGAGGGGTGTGAAAGTTTGATGATCTTAGGTTGGGGCCACCCCCTAGTTCAAGTTCCAGGTCGATCTGTAAACCCTTAGGGTTTATGGGAGTCAGCAGATCGGGACGTGATGATGTGTAAAACAAAGGCCCCGTATCCCAAACGTTGGAAAGGGTACTGTTGCAACTGTCATCATTAGCGACTCAGGGCTCTGCAAGCGTGGTTATGTCTTGCAGGGGCCGTGATGTACTTGAGGTCCAAGACCTTGCAATGAATCCCTAAACCCAAAACCCAAAACCCTAAACCCTGAACCCTGAACCCCCATCCCACAATAAAATCTGACCCAAAGCTCTGCAATCTGGTCGTTTCCGGGATTTGGAATCTATATAAGTCTTTTCGTAAGCTCGCAAGCATCTATGTTAGTCTAGGTTTAGGGTTTAGGGTTTAGGGGTTTAGGGTTTAGGGTTTAGGGTTTTAGAGTATTCTAAAAACAAAGCTCAACTAAAGAAGGGAGCTGAAAGAAGCAGCACATATTCAAACCCAGTTTCAAGGCCCTTGCAAATAACCCTACAATCCCGAAGAATGATACCCTACTTGAAAGCTGTTTTCGTTATGCAAACCTTGTTCTGATTATTCCGGCTCCTATATGCAACCCTACGCCTCAAAAACCGTAAACCTTTGAAACACCTAAACCGTACGCACCCCAAACCCTTAGACTTTATAAGCCTTTTCAGAACTTTTATAGACTAGATTTGGGGAATCCCAGTCGCAGACGTGGCCCATGTCCTCCAGCTTTTCGCCACTCGTGAGGTGCAGGGTCTTGGCACTACATCTCGCCAAGGTGTCCACCTTCGCAAGAAGCCTACTTGGAGGATCATGGGACTTAGTAAGTAAGGTTCCCTAATTGGGGTTATAAGTATAGTTACCGTAATTATAACCCTAGTTACTAAGTCCCATGATCCTTCAAGTATCAGTCTTCGTGTTTTAAGTTCTTTGTCGACCAAGGAGCCTTAACACTTTCAGAAGAGGTTTTGGTGTAGCTGTTGCTAAACATGTACCAAGCACCCTCCGGGCAAGAATATGATTAAAGGCCTTGGAAGCCGTTTGTTTGGCGATTCTGTCCGTCCGGGCTAATCGGAAGGGGTTTGAGCTATTTTCTGGCTTTAGGTGGGTGCTCAAGGTTTCTTGGGGCTCTAAGGCTTTACGTCTTTAAACGTTTAACCCCATTGTTTTTGGGGTTCCTCAGCCCCAAGCCAAATTCATTCTCACTCTTCAATTCAATGAAGGACGGACCCGATAAAATCCTGTACATGCCCTCGTCCAATTCTTAAGGCCCCAAGTAATCAGCACGCCCAGTTGCTCGGTACTCCAGCAGCCCGTAGGCATGCGCCAGGAAGGTGACATCGCCAATACCGAAGCGACTGCTTTGCTTGATCTGGCAATCCTTGAGGCATCTTTTCAGATTTCGGAATTTCCAAGGGTAAAAGGAGGGACCCTTAATAAGGACCCCTAGATATATACCCTTAATATAGCTATTATATACTCATTATATAGCCCATTATAGGGTAGAGGTCCCCAATAAGGGTCCCTCCTTGTCCCCTTTGAGAATTAGGGGCATCTTCGTTCTGGTTTCGATGGTTCTATAGAGGGTTTTCGGCTCGCACACTCGCCCAACAGAGGCACGGCTTCATGAGGAGGGTGTTAAGGATCTGTCGAGTTGTGTGGGATCTATGGGGTTAAACAACCGCATGAAAGACCAGGCCATAGGCTACCCAATCTGATACTCATACTATACAATACAGTAGAATGCTGTACAGTTATTTTACTCTACTATACGAGTATAGGCCCTTTCTTGAGGCATCATGGCAAGCAGCACTCTGCTGGTCAGAATGCAGGGGTTGGGGTCTGCAACTGCACTTTGCTGCACAAAGAGCAACAAGATGAACAACCCCGCAACATCACCGAAGTACTATAGGGGCCTGAGTCAGCAGTAAGAAGATTCCCTGAAAGTCCACACATGCCTGTTTCTTGTAATCTTGGCTAGAACCCTGTTATAGTGATTAAGCTCCGCACAGCCCCATTAGGACCTGCGAAAACCCACACAAACCCCAGTCTAATCATTCCGGCCCCTGTCATATCTGCTTGGCAGGTTTCGGCCTCACCCGAACCCACCACCGCATAGAACTTGAAGGGGTCCTCGATGCCTCCACATTGGATGCTTGGGGGTTCAGGGTTTAGGGCCCTGTAGGTCGGACACTCATGTCCGAAGACCGCAGACATCATACTGTACAATACAGTACCATGCTGTACAGTTATTTTGCTTCACAGATCGGATTTTGGGCTGCGCCGGTCCCAATACTTGGGGACCCACAGGCTTGCGGCTTGCAGCAACTTCGGGGCACTGGGAGTCGCAGGTTCCGGCCCCTACTTAAAGGATCATAGGACGTAGTAACTTAGGGTTATAACTAGGGTAACTATACTCATAACCCAAATTGGGGTACTTATAACCTTACTTACTAGGTCCCATGATCCTCCAAGTATGGGGAGGTCGTTGGTACAACGGCAGTTTCATCTGTTGAAGCACATATCCTCATCAGCCAATTGGCTTTATGTTTTCTGCGAAGGCCGGCCGACCTTTTCTCAAGCTTCGACCCAAACCGAAAGCTTAGCCTAGACCTCCTGTTACCAAAACAGGAGGTTGCTAACCATAGGTTATGTACCCCAGTAACCTACTATTTAGGCAACTGGAGCCTAGGAAATTAGGGGTACCTGATTTTGGGGTCCTTATAAGAAGGATCCCACTATTTGGGGTACTTTTTCAGGGTCCCCTATTTTCGGAAACTCCCAAGTAGCCTGCCAAAGAGACAAAGACTACTTCAAGAATCATGGGACTTAGTAGCTAAGGTTATAACTAGGGTAACTAATCCCTATAAAGGTACTTATAGCCTTACTAACTAAGTCCCATGATCCTCCAAGTAGCCTGCCAAAGAGACAAAAACCCAAAGGGTCCTATGTACCTATATAGTAGAATGTAGGGTTTCTATATTAGGAACTACTATTCTGATCCAGGGAAGTATCCCCCATAACAGTACATACCCAGAGACTCCAATATCCCTTAATTAAGGAATATACCTTAATTACATCATGTTAGGGATCCTACTATAATTTAAGGTATACTCCTTACTTAAGGGATATTCGAGTCTTGGGTAGGACCCTTTGGGAGACTCAAGACGCGAGGCGCCTGCGCACTCGTACATCGGCTTGAACTGGTTCCTCGGGCCAAGATCTTCAGAAACCTAACATAGGGGCCTTGATAGTTCGGATATAAGGGATCTATAAGCGTACTGTAGGCTAGAGGCCTTAAAAAAATAGAAAAGGGTTTTGGGGCCCATTATACTATGAGAATAATGAGGAGCCGTCCAAAATAGGTAATTAATTGTTGAAACCCCTATGTTAAACCCTAAACCCTTCCAGGGCTTAGAGTTTATTTGGGTTTAGGGCCAAAGGTCTTCGGAACTGCTTTTGGGTGCAGATTGATGGGTGGAGTTAACCAACTTCAGAAGGGTCGTAAGAGGTTTAGGCTGGCGTGGTCCTCCCTAAACGCTAAAACCCAAAATGAAGAGCGCCGTGGCGTAGACAGGACACCATGTTCCGAAGCATAACATCAACGGCGGAATAACCATTGCAGGGACACCAGAAACGACAGGACCCTCATTGTTCGAAGTCCTTCAAACCTTGATTCAACCCGATGAACCTTCAAAAATACTCCAACAACTCCACAGACATCCAACACAACTGTACCACAACCCTCTAAAACCCTCCAAAACCCCCCCTCCAGTAAAGTCCTCACAGAAAAGGAGAAAAAGCCCTTCCAAAACTGCGTCGAGATGCAGCAACTGGAAGGCTGGAGTGGGGTCTGGACCCTGGTGGCAGAACCAGCATGGAAGACGTGGGCAAAGCAGACTCCTCGGTGAGGTTACTATGGTAGGTTTAGGTTAGGGTTTAAGATTTTTTTGAGGGTTTAGGGTTTTGGGTTTTGGGTCTAGGCTTTAGGGGTGATGAGGGTTCAGGTGTATTTTGTCTCGGGCGCTGTAAGGCTGAGTTTTGAAAGTTCTCAACAAGGCAAGGAGGGTCTCTAGTAAGGCTTCATGGGGTTACTGGCTATGAATATAGTAGAAGCCAGAAAGTTGGAACATGGGTGTAGGAGGATTAGTGCTAGGATCCCTTATACTTTACTTTAGGGGCATGAGGATACTAATGTTCAAACTTTCTGGCTTATACCGAAGGTTTTCTATGGCACTACGAAGTGTTCTATAGCGGGCGCTATGAAACTCCTCGGAGAATTTTAAAGGATCTTTCTCTGGATGAGTTTTCTGGACTTGTCCAGGGCATCGCACAAATTTCAGAAGGGTTGCCGTTAAAGACGATTCTATAGGATTCTGTAATGGGTGACAATGGCTCCTTGGAGGATTTAGGGCACGCTGAGGGCTCCCTAACGGTTTTATGCAGGTTGAAGAAGTAGAGTAGCGCATAGTGTAGGTGCCAGTACTTCTAACTACTAAGCCCACTATAGCAGCTGTAGCCCGAGCTACATACTACGACCATGAACTCTCAAGTGCGTCGAATGGAGTTCTCGTACCTTAACTGCCCGAATGGGGCCTTAGTTTAATGCAACGGGTCCGGGTCGGTAATGTAAGAACCTGATTAAGAAAGCTTGGGCCTTTATTAGCTTTATTAGGGTTCCTTATATGAATCCTACTAATTTGGGGGGGTTATACGCCCTGGGTTTCTTAATCAGGTTCCTACATCAGGGGGCTGTGGGAGACTGTGTTGTCCAAGGCCGGCCGTCGCACCAAACTGGACCAAAACAAAAACCCTGGTCCGAAGCCTACGACAGGGTTACCTAGCATAGAAACTCTGTGTGTGCTAAGAGGTGGACCGGCATTGAATTTGAAACTCAAGGTCTGGTCATTGGTCTTCGCAAGATTAAGTGAACAAGGTGGTTGGATGAACCTCAAAGTACAGGTGCGTATGCATATGGAACAGGCGCAGAACTTTGGGAAACTACCGAGGTGCTTCCGTCGCGTGATGATGTAGACCTTGGCAGCGGCATTCTCCACCTCAGTGCAGAAGCATGTCCGTGACCGGATATTATCTTGCCGAAATGAACTGTTGTGGTTGCTGCTGTGAGCCCGTGTGGCTTTCAGAAGCCCTTCTTAAGACGCGAAGACAGGTGATTACAAGGTCACGGACTTAGGCAGGCATCCATGTTGGGCTCTGTTAGACCCGCTGCATCCAACTGCGACAAAGAACCCATGACCTGTAACAACGGAAATCCCGTTCTCAGCAACCATCGGCCCATCGGTTTCTATCTGTTGCAGGTGCTGGAACTTCAGCACCGAGCACTGCTACTTCTTATTGCTTCGTTATGCTGTTCATGGCGCGACGATGTGGGCCACACTAGTACAAAGGGCCCTAATCTTCAGAATTAGTATGAAAGCTTCAGATTCAGAACACTATACTGTTATTTCGAACGCCTGATTGCAGACATGCCCACGCAGCTTCGCACGTTCTCCACTGCGAAGGCGCCGTTGCCCAAAATCGCAGCGCGTCCATCCTGACCAGTGTTGGGGAAGGGTCTCGAAACCTTTAAGAACCCGACCGGTGCGCTTCTCAAGCTCCAGGAGCTTTTGCCCTCTGGCTAGCTCTGTGGGCATCGCGGAAGTTTCAGTGTGTAAAACCCGAGTTACTCGAAACACCTCCATGAGCGCGGACAGAAGGGGGTTCGATATCCAGACTACATCGGAGACAAGGACTGTTGCGTGCAAGCACCAGTTACGACAATCCCGAACCCGAGCACAAGGTGTTCCGGTTCTACAAAGAGGCCTTAGCAATTAGAATAGGGTTTGGGGTATGGTATACTATAAGAACTTATAATAAGGAACCCCCCAAACCCTAGTCTAAATAAGGAACGCCCAAAACCCTAGTCGAATCATGAAGGCCCGTGTATTAAATTAGCTGCGTCGGCTCTAGCACCGTCCCACTTAAAGGATCATGGGACTTAGTAGCTAGGGTTCCTTAACGGGCTCCTTTAAAGGGATCTATAGGGGTTTCTATTCTAGGGTCTACTTAAAGGATCATGGGACTTATCAGCTAGGGTTATAATAATTAGGGTAACTAGACTCATAACCCCAATTAAGGTACTTGTAACCTTACTTACGAAGTCCCATGATCCTTCAAGCACAAAAGCATCGAATGTGCCTTCATTCGGCCATCGTCCCAGACGAAGAGTCCACCCTGGCCTGGGCCACGACAATGAATTAAAACAAGAACCGGTTTATGTTTAATTTAATGTCAAAGGACCCAACTAAATCTTGATTACGTTCCTGTGGTTCTAGCGTTTCATTACAATGAGTGGTGATTCTAGAGGGTGAACCGTGAAAAGAAGAATGGAACAAAGAACCTAATTCTCTGTGTTGTTTCCCTTTACATTTAATTTCAACTAAAGAAAGACAACACTCTTCATGCCCTTCATTTCTCACTTCATGTTTCGCTCAGTTAATTGACTTCACTTAGCCGCTTTAGGGTTTAGGTATTAATCCCTTGAGTGAAATGAGAAGACAAACATAAACTAATTCCTAAGAGTAGTTGAAAAGTCAAAACCGGCAGCTCCGAGGCATTGCCAAGCCTACGGCACAACACCGTGGGCTTTACAGTAGGTTCGACCCTTGCAACACGCACGCTGCAGGCACGGCATCCGCAATATTCCGCAATAAGTCTCCACCACTTAGGCCGAGTGAGTTCAGCGTTTAGGGTCTTGGAAGAAGGGAAATGCAGTGAGTCGCAGCAGGATAGCCTCGTTCTTATTTGGTGTGTCGAAGATGGGGTTGCATTGCGGCACAGTCTTGGAAACGGCGCGAAGCCGAGATGAACAGACCCGGAAGCTGCGTCGGGACTTCTTCGTCTAGCGCTGCAGGTCCACATGTCTCACAACGGCTCACATCAAGGTAAAGCCAGTGCCTTTTCTTGACAGTGTCGTTCGCATGATGATGGGAGGCCGACAGGGGGGTTTAAGGTTCTTGCGGTAGGGATTCCTTGATATGAACCCTATTATGCGAACCCCAATCCCTACTAAACCCCCATAGGCTAAAATCCCTTTTGGCCTCCTGCATTATGGAACCCCTTATAGTACCCATATAGATCCCTTAAAGTACCCTTACAGTAATCCTTACAGGAACCCTTTAAAGGGACCCTTGAAGAAGCCAGCAACAGGCCGAATAGGCCGAGCGGTGCATCAGCATTGGGCTTCCAGGCAAAGCTCCGGCATCGAAGATGTACTTAAAGGATCATGGGACTTAGTAACTAGGGTTATAAGTACCCTAATTAGGGTTTTAAGTATAGTTACCCTAGTTATAACCCCAGTTACTAAGTCCCATGATCCTGTAAGTAGGGGTTCTAACACAACTGATTATGTTAATATGTGGCCTGAGTAGCTCGAATGGGGTACGGGGGAGGAGGCGGACTATCGAGAATTATATTCAAGAACCCCAAGAAATGAAAACTGGTAACTATTCAGCCTGCTGCATTTACAATACACACACACACACACACTAACAAGACCAACTAAGCAAAGGCAGGTGGCCGTTTCCCATTCCATAACCGACCTGTCCACCGGCGGCGATGAATTCGTCCTGCCCACGCAAGGTTTTTTTCCCTTGAGGGTTTAAGCCTTCCACACCGATGCGACTCATGCAACTACCAACGAAAACTGCGGATTTGGAGGCGAGTTTGTTCCAGAAGCTCAGATCTAGGCCCCAGGTTTGCTGGATGGGCCCCAAACCTGGACAGGATAGTCAATTCACAAGCCCAAAGCCATGGACACGACTCATGCTGCTGAAGTGTTGGGAGGCGCGCCTAAGACCTGTGGCAAGCATTGCTATCAGATATTCTAATACTACGATACATTATGTCTACCTCTGGGCTCTTTGCTAGTATGAACACATTACGACAGATCTCCTACTACTTGACCTTTGAAAATCGATAAACATCATCGGCTTGTACGCCCTGTAGCAGGCCGGAACCTTACAGAGAAAAGGCTGCTGAGGTATAGGTCGACAGCACAAGCCTACTCCTCGAGTATCCCGGGAACTAAAGATTAACCTCTCGGGGTAACTTGGGATTACAAAGGGATTATAATACCCAAAAGGTTAAAGGTTCCTTACTCTACTACTAGGCTGTATAACCGGATGACCAAACACCCTCCCCTGTCTCTGCTCCCACCCCTCCTGCCTCCCACCACAAAAAGCAAGAACAAAACCCGATTCGTTTCTTGGACCACTGAATGAAGGCAGTGAATGAATTCAATGGAGCTACATATTAATCTAGGTCATGATACTTGATGTCGCCCCGGCTTCCCTACATCTAGCCCTGCTTACCAAGTCCCCCGGCGCCCCCTTTGTAGGACTACTTAAAGGGTCATGGGACTTAGTAACTAGGGCTAGAAGTACCCCAATTAGGGTTATAAGTATAGTTACCCTAATTATAGCCCTACGTAGTTACTAAGTCTCATGATCCTGTAAGTATTCTAGGACCCTAGGGTCCCAGAGTAACCTTTGAGGGGTACCCAAAAGGAACCCATGGCTCCTCACCCGGATAGTCGACGATGCGATTGATGTCATAGGCGCCTTGCTGTGTAGTCGGGAGGCCTAGCCTCTAGCTATAGTAGTAGTAGTAGTAGTAGTAGTAGTAGTAGTAGTAGTAGTAGTAGTAGTAGTAGTAGTAGTAGTAGTAGTAGTGGTAGTAGTAGTAGTAGTAGCAGTAGTAGTAGCAGCAGGAGTAGTAGTAGCAGTAGCAGGAGTAGTAGCAGCAGCAATGCTAACAATTGTGAGAATAAAAGTGCCAACAAGAACAGTAATCATGGTAATAGCAGTTTGAATATCTCCAGGCCGGTAAGCCCTTTTTGCATCAGGACTTGTGCAATCGCCTGAATACATGGACGGAAGGTCAGCACTCCTGACTGCACTTCCATACCCTAAACGCTGATGCCCGGAACCTTGAACTCGCAAGGAGATGAAGAGAACACGACTTCAGCGAGGGGACGTAAGGCCTCCATCCTAAGGTCCGGTGGGTGTTTACTTAAAGGATCATGGGACTTAGTAGCTAGGGTTAAAATTAGGGTTGCTATACTTATAACCCCAATTACGGTACTTATAACCTTACTTACTAAGTCCCATGATCCTCCAAGTAGGGTTCAGGGCCTTAGTATATACCTGGAAGTACCCCAAAGCCTATGCTTTCCTGCAGCTGCCATGGACTTTCTGAAAAACCACTACCACCAGCTGCACGCTTTGAGGTTCTCAACTTCGGGACTACCGAAGTTCGAGAACCCTTCCTGAATTTCGTGAGTGACCCGTTTTAAGCACGAACTTGCAGTGTATGCCGGCAGCAAAGCGTGAGTGAACACTAAACACTAAAGCCTGAACCCTGTCTTGCGGCGAAACCTGGGAAGTGGTACACGAGCGAGACCTCGTTGGCGGCTCCGAGGGTTTAGGGATGTTTAGGGCTTACTTGGAGGTTCTATAATAGGGTTCCCTTTAAGGGTTCCTTTGAGGGTTCTACAAGGGCTCCTGTAAAGGGGTTTAGGGGTTAGGGTTTAGGATTTAGGGTCTACTTGGAGGATCATGGGTAGTTATACGTGGTGTTATAAGTTCCCTAATATGGGTGATCATTATGGGCACCCCACTTATAACCCCGCTAATACCTCTCAGTAGGATGGGGACCAGACAGGCATACGGTCAGGAAGCCTCCATGTGTTCCCTGATGGCTTTACATGGCGGTCTATTAACATCAGGCACCCTATTTAGCGCCCCTGTACTTGCTAGGGATCCAAGTACGTATAGGAATATTGGGCGCAGATTTGAGTGAAGCTACTATATGGGAGTTTCCGAAAATAGGAAACTCTAATGTATTACCCGAAATGGTAGGATCCCTATTATAAGGACCCCAAAATGAGGTACCCCTAATTTTCGGAAACTCCCACATGCTTGGCTTGCCAGCAAGCATGCTTCAAGCATCCGGGGGTGCCTTGACATTGGTAGTGGCCGCACGCATCTGGCCCGTGGTGCCGTAGCCACCATAGCCGCCACCTCTGCATGCTGCACGATGAAGAACCAAAGCAAACAACAAGCTGTATATAATGCCCACGGGATGCCCCTGAACTCGATCTAGCAGAATCTAGCGCATGGCACAGACCATTCCCAGCACCACTCCTCCGGGCTATGATGTTGGGTATCCGATCACATCGACTTGGTGTGAGCTTTACGACGTAAGCTCCATATCCCCAAATGCACCAGAAGATGCAATACTCCCCACAAGTCCCCGTGTGCGAAGGATGGCGCTGCCTGAAAGCTCGACGCTGGCTTTGTCCAGCCTTGACACAACAACGATTTGGAGCAACATTGGCTGTATATGGGACTTGCACTTAGGCTTCCGGTGTCCCGATGGGAGCTTTTCTTCCTCCCACAAAGTTTTGTTCCAAACGAACCACTCCCACACCGAGGATGCCCTGTAGGAGCGCAACTCCCACCTGCTCCCAGAAGGTTGAAGCCCGGAAAACCGCTACTGAAGTCTATGTACGCAAAAACCCTAAGCCCTTTTCTGCATCCGGGCCTCTTGAAGTCTTGCCCTAAACCTAAACCCCTAAACCCTGAACCCTAGACTCTTGCCCCTTTTTCCACAGGCTTGATTAGTGCTCGCCCAGCGAGACTCTTACCCCTAAACCCTAAACCCTTGAGAAACTTATCCAAACTTAACGTCGGCCCGGTGGCTTTGTAAGGCCGAGCTCGTAGTAGCGGTCCTCAGGCTCTGGGCAAAAATGTGCTCTGCTGTTCCCTACAAGTCACCCGCACAATATACCCTAAGGATCTAAGGACTCATATATATATATATATATATATATATATATATATATATATATTAATATGTGTATATATATATATATATATGTGTATATATATATATATATATATATATATATATTAAGGCTTTTGGGCCCAAAGACCATACTATAGAAGGCTTTGGGCTAGTTCGATCCCCAGGGACAGGGGCCTTACTACAATTATGACCAGGACCCCTAGATACTGTGTTGCTTATCATTCAGCCTTCCATGCCTAAACCTTACAAAAAACAGGTCCTCGGCTTCCGGATCTCCAATGATCTTCAGGGTAGAGACCTGGCCCATGCCAAGCAAGTCGCACTTTTTGGGACTCAGGGGTTTATCAGATTGAGCGGGTCGGGTTTAAGCCTTCCAGGATATTTTTGGAAACTCCTGTACCAGGACCCTCCTTGTACCCTCAAATAGGGGTATATGGCCCCAAATAAGGGGCATTTAGAGTCTAATAGAGGGTAGATGGAGGGTCTAGGTATACTCAAGTTTCTATCGGGACTCGGCCTCGAACTGCCAGACCATAAGTTTCCGAAAATCCGGGGTGCCTTATTTGAGGGTCCCTGTCATAAGGATCCTACTGTTTCAGCACTCACACTCGGACAAGCCTTGGCGAGGTTCCCTGGTCCCACGACAGGCACATGTGGCCCAAGCCATCATACATTGACGACAGCAAACATTATCCGCGCTACGATCAACCTCAACCTGCATCCTGCAGCTATTCGCATCATCCTCAAACTGTGAACTCATCAACACAGAAATCACGGCATCCTCAGTCCAGTTGGCCCCACTGGCAAAATGCCATACATGCAGCAACACATGCACACAAATTCCCAATCCATTCATGCTCGTTGGACGCCCAAATGTCCAGACCGTTGCCACTTGCTGATGAGGGCTCGACAGCTTCATGCAGTTGCACATGCATTCAAATTCTCAAATTCCGTTCATGCGCGTTGTACGTCTAAGCGTCCAGACTGGTACGTTCCTCTGGTTGTAGGCTCGACAGCGATGCAAGGAAAAACGGCCCAGCATCGGCACTCCAGTCAGTAGACACCACAGGGCAGAGGCCCTTCACGCTGTATCGTATGCATCCAAATTCAATGCATCACCCAGATTGCTGCAGTCAGTTTGGTGTAAGCCGTGGTATGCAGAAAGCATAGCCCAAATTCCATGCATGCACAACGAAGGCTCTGTGCTTCCAGACTCGCGTTCAGTGGAGCATGTATTCGGCTGCCAGACATACATCAGTGCAGCATAACAGACTCCATCATCTCGGCCGGGCATCTCCCAAGAATACGTTTTGCGTCCGCGGTGTCAGCTATGGGACATACATCAGGGGCAGCATAACCAGAACAGCCCATCATTGGTCTCTCCGTGGGGAATCCAAGGAGACACACAATAATGAGTGGCATCAAAGCAGTCCCAGTGGTCAGAGCAGTCGTCTAGTCGTCGCGCCAGGGGCCGAAACAGCATTTAGAGCGTGGCATCGTCTGCCATCACAAGCCAGCCAGGACCCAGAGGTGCGAGCAGAAAACTGGCAGTTGTGAGCCATGGCAGAAGCGCCGCGGGCTAGGGCTACCTAGACCCCGAATAGGGAGGGTTGGAGGAGAACCCACAACACGAACGAGAACGCGGGAATGACGGGGCCGGAAAGACCCTCCAAACCCCTGCTTTGGCGTGGTTCCCGGCAGCACTGCCCTGTTTGTGCCCGTCCCCCGATCGCGGTGGTGATGCGGAGCATGAAGATCCTGTCAGGCTTCAGTGTGTTTGTAGGGCAACGGGAGTAGCAGTGGGCTCGCTTCTGGTTCGGCAACAATGCCACTCAGAAACGACAAGACGCTTGGCTTGGAGCTAAGGAACAGCAGGGCATATGACAGTGCAGGCATGTATTGACACTAGAGGGGAGGGTATGGCTATGTACGCTGCAACAAGACGCTGGGGCTATGGTGTAACAAGACTCCATGACCTAGGGAGGAAGGGAGCGGGGGGGGGGGGGGGGGAAAGGGGGGAGAGGGCAAAGGGAGAGGGGTGGTTGTGGGTTTGTGTGGGGTCGTCCAAGAAGACACTCGAAGCGGCATTTCTTCTGCTTGGCTGTGGATGCTCGGTACTGTTGCAAAAGACGACCTATGATCATTCCCAAATTCGCAGGCTTAAATTCATATTCTTGAATTCAATGCAGGCATGCTGAAAATTCGATGCACCAAATTCGGGTCTTCACGACACTTGCAGTTTGCATGAAATTCAGGGGCCAGGCGCATGAAAAACATCGCTCTCGCCTCCTACTGTACGAGCATGCATCATCACAGTCGTCGGATGTGCTGCTGAGGGGCCATCGACACATGGAAAACAGGAACATAGAGGCCACAAAGAAGTAGCAAAACAGTGCAACATAGAAAGGATCTCCAGGCCCTCAAGAGCAGCGAGACATTTACAATACATGTGCTCCTAGCATCTGTGCAAGAACCGACCTCGGGATGAAAATGACCTTCCCATCCGGGAGCGTGATCGGGCACAAATATCCCTGCCCTTGGCGGCTCACCATTGGGAGGGACTCGTCCAGGTTCAGCATCGTGGGCCCTGGTCCACCCGCAGTCGCTGCCGCCGGAGCCGGAGGCGGTGGGGCGGCGGGTCCTGGTCCTGAAGCTGTGGCCGGGTCTGCAGTGGGAGAGCGTGCCGTTGGCTCCGCATTCATAGCTTCGATCTCCTTCTGAAGGACTTCCAGCTGTTCCTTGACCGCCTCAAGAAGCCCCCTCAGAAAATTGAGTTTATCTGGCAAGTGTTCGCTGTCCCCCTGAATTCTATCCAGGGATTGCTGAGCCCATCGCACTTGTCCACTGAGCTCCTTGATCTGCTTGCTCAAGGCGTAGGAGATGCCTGAGAGGTCTTTCTGGAGCTGCTCGAACCTCCCGTTCATGCCCGTGGAGAAACTCTCTTGGTTTCGTTGTAGCGGAGTGAGGAATCGTTGAAGGTCCGCATAGTCCTTCACCATCTTCTTGGCCACCGCATCCAAAGCTGTAGAGGTGTTGAGCTTGGCCTCCTCGAGGGCAGCCGAGATGGCACTGAGAGCATCTGTGATGCTTTTGTGTTCACTGCCCGCCAGTTTCGACCCAGCAGAGGAAAAGGCTTGCTTGAGGTCGTCCTTGGCACGCTGGATGGTTCTCTGAAGCTCCAGCTGGTGGCTTGCAAGGGTATTCCCCAAATTCGCGTGCATGGCATGGATTGTGTTGGCCACCTCGCCAACTTTCATGACTTTGTTCATGATGGCTTGCAGACGATTGCGGCCGTCCTCGAATCCATCATTGAGCATGCGAGTCAGGGAATCGTCCACGTCAAGCAGGCCCATGGCCCGTTGAAGGGCGTCCGCGCCAGCACTGCGGGTGGCATAGCCTTCAGCATGAACCAGCGCTTGCAGTTGTTGCACGGCCCGGACCAAATCGTCCAAACGTTGCTGGACCCCCGCACGTCGCATGCAGGGGAAAAGGGCCCACCCCCAGTAGTGGCCAAGGAAGAAGAGACCAGCCAACAAGGCTCCCATCAGACCCGTGAGGAGCATGCACCATACTCCGGTGAGATCCGGCCCATCCTCGCCTCCCTCGGGAAAGCGGTGTTGAGCCTGGTACAAGGCAACAGACATGGCGCCTCAGCACGGGAGTCTAGCTGTAGCCTTCAGTTTACTGGGCGCGTCAGCCAAAGGAGCTGCGCAAGCATGCGGCGTTAGAGCTGGCAGGAGGGGGATGCTTGAAGCAGCATGCGTCCTAGTATCTTTATGTGGCAGAAGCGGCTACCCAGAAGTACCCCAAAAGGCCCTCGTCACAAGCATCACGTCCAAGAACCCAAAGAAAACCCTGAAAACCCTGCCCAAAGTACGCGCCTCGTCGATCATGTAATCGAGCCCAGCGGCCCCCAAGCAGCCAAGGCTCAGGCTAGAGACAGGAACAGGAAGCAGTGCTAGGACGGGCAGTGGATACCAAGTGTTGGGCAGAAAATGCTGGTCCCGAGGGTCAAAGGTATCACCTACATCGTCTTCCAAACATCGCATCATCCCCTATGCGCTGGCAAGCTCGCGGCGGCACATGCTTTTACTCGGCTGCACACGCACAACTGCAAATTCCAACATGCTACATGGCTACAAATTCGGAAATCAGTAAATTCAAGGAATTCTCCAGCAGGCGCGAAGAGTGCGTGTGAAGGCTACACCAAAAGAACGAAGACCCGAGCTAACAAGAACCAAAAGCAAACACAACAAAGCACTCTCGTCCATTGCCTATGCTGAATTCGAATGTATCACAGCAGCTGCAGTTCAGTACCAGTAGGAACGGCAAGTCGGACGATGGGCAGCGCTGAAGACGAGGCACTCCCGTCCACATTCATCCCTTCGAGCGATTGTTGTATCTCGCGCAGAGCATCCAAGACATCGTGCAGCTGCCCTCGCACGTGGCCAACATGCTGTATTCCCGCGAGACCAGACACCCGAGAATGGAGTTCCTGAACAAGGGCATGAGTATTGTCCACTGCCCCCAGTCTGGATCGTAGTTGCAGGCCATGGTACAGAGAGTCCAGGGCTTCACCATGTCTTCGTCGGAGTTCAGCAACGTCGCCCCGAGTCTGGTTCAGGAGGTCATGCATCTGTCTTTGCTCTCCAAGGAGCTGCAGCAAAACAGCTTCGTGGGCACGCATTGAATTCATACTCAGTCGGAACATGCAGTACACCGAGTACATCGCTGCCAAGCATAGCCCAAAGGCCACGGCGCAGGCCAGCTGGAAAATCATGGATGGTGACCAAACCTCTACAGCGGTCAGTATCAGAGCCTAGAGCTGCACAGAACTAGCGGATTACCCACTACATGCAGAGGCAAAAACCCGTGAGGGAAATAAAAAGGAGCAGCCAGAGCACCCAAACTCCGAAACACCGAAATAAGAACAAAAAGAGCACAAAGATTACTCCGGATCGGAAATAACACAATCCCAGTAGTCGGGCTCTGGACTGGCTGCTCCCATGCACATGCTGATGACATCCGACTCCGTATCAGACGGTATCGGTATCGTTGCTGGACAGGAATCCTCCAGGTCGATCGTCACAGGAGGGTGGTGTAACAAGGTGCCCCGCGGCCACACCAGTCTAGGCTCAAGCCTCAGTTGCCTCGTAACCGTGGCCCCCCAAATCTCGTGTCGAAAGCGATCCTCTTCGTGAGCAGTAGGAGGCCGAAAACCAAAAGAGCAGAGCCGGCAGTACAAATCGTCCGAGAGGTTGCACGTACTGGCAGCCGTGCTATAGGCCGACAACACAA